CGCCATTAAATACAGCAAATTTAACATTAAATTTAAATTTTTCGCTTCCGGCTTGCCACCGGACGTATGTCCGCGCGCGAACGCGCTTACAGCGCGGTTGCTAGCAGCGCTAGCAGCCCCGAAAGCGGCGGAACGGTTACCAACCGCCCCAAAGCCAACAATAATATTATTATAACCAACGCCCCCAACCCTTTTCCAACGCGCATCCGCATCGCAAATTTAAAAAATTAATTAATTAAAACATTAAAGCTTTTTGTGCCTTTTAGCAATACCGAATTAATGCTTAAAATTGTAAAAAAATGGATTAAAACCGTAATAAATGCGTTCGAAACGCGGTTTTGCAACCATTGCAATTATATATTTAACCATTTTTGTACTATAAAAAACGAAATTATCGTTAAAATACGCAATGCCCGCAAGCAAACCACCAATTACGCTTTGGTTTTAGCAACCGGTTTGCCGCAAAGCGGTTAAGCCGGTAATTACCCGCTTACGATTCGCCCCTACGCATTTTTTAATACCGGCCCCCTTTTTCCAAAATATATTTCCGCGCGCACCAAACGCGAAATTACCATTTTAATTAAAAACGTTTTTTTTAAAATTGCAAACCGCATACCCGTTAAAATTATTATTACATTAATTAAAAAGTTTGGTAGCAACGTAAAAGCAATGCGCAAATTTTCCAACGGTAACATGGTAATTTTATTTTATATAATCGCCGTTAAACATACGAAAAATACCGCGTAAATTATTAAAATATTCGGTAGCAAAGCAATATATCGAACCCGAATTTATAACGTTATAATTAAAAGCATTCGATAAAACGCAACCAATAATAACAATATTTTATTGCACGAATTTAAAGCGCATAATATCGGGGCCGAAATTAATTTTATTTATATATAAAACGCCCGGTAACCGGAAAAATACGCTACGGTATTGGTTAAAATTACATTTCCCGTTGCAATTTAAATTGCATGCAATAACGGTTTCGTATTTAAATGCGAAATTTTTAAAATTAAACCGTTTGCAACGAAAGCGAAAATTGCTTAATGCTATAAATGCTATAGGTAAGGATATAAATCGAAATTTTGCAAAAAAACGGCTTATTGCCCGCATTGCGCCGGGCCGTTGCATAGCAACGGTAAAGCCGGGGAATTTTTGTATTTATTGTACGGGGGTTAATTTGTTATAAAAAAAAGCAAGCCAAAATGTTGCAATTACGGAAGCAATTACCCGGCCTTTTAACGAAAGTGCCCCGCAACGAAAAAAGAAATTAAAAAGGCTAAAAATACATTTTTAAACCGGCCGAAATAATTTGCTTTGAAAACGGGAAATAAGCGCGCATTTTAATCGAACCAAATAAGCTATTTTGCCGTTTATACCCTTTCGCTTTTTGCATTTATCCGCTTTTTACCCGGCCCTTTTTAACCGCTATAAAAAAAGAACAATTTGCTTAATTTAAAATTGCTAATAAAACGCAAACGGAACGGCTTTTTATTAAAAATAACGAAAGCAAAAAAAAATTTTTGACCAAAAAACGAATAAGTAAATTACGAAAATCCCGTAATAAAAAAACGTTAAGCTTTTCCAAATCCGCTTCCAGGATAAACCAATACTTTACAAATTTAAACTTTGCCTTTTTCGGTTTTAATAAAATAGCGGGAATAAAAGGAATAAATAAATGCCGGGCCGCTAACAACCCAACGGCACCTAGCAATACCGCGGTTATTAATTCCAATTTTGCCAATGCGCTAAATTATAAAGCCCTTTTTTCCTTTCCCGATTTACTTTTACCTTAACCGCTTGCATTTTAACCAATTTAATTTGGCTTTATACCGGCACCGTTTAGCTTTTTTGCAATCGGAATTACGTTTATTTTTAGCTAACCAATTAACAATAATAACGACGTATAAAATTAAACATATTATATTAAAATATGGGAAAAAGCAAAGGGAAAGGCGATTTCCCTTTTTACAGCAATAAATAATACAACATTTTAGCTATCCAAAAGCCGGAACGCAACCAGCACGGAAACTTTTCAAAACCGTACGGTTGCAACTACGAACTTATTTATTACTAAAAATTTAATTCCAACGCAATACTTTACGTGCACAACCGTTTTGCCCTTAAATTGTAAACCGCCCGGTGCGGTTACGATTGGGCTTTAATTACAATTATTACGCCGGAAAGCTTATTAAAAATATATTCGATATATTTCCCAAATTTTAAAGCAAGCCCCAATTAGGCAACGCTTTTTATTACAATTGTTATTTACCCAACCCAAAAGTACATAATTTTTACAAGCGATTTTAATTTCCATTATTTAACCTAAAATTTATATAATAAATACAACGCAAAAAGCAAAACCTTTTTGGAATTAGCACGCCGCAAATAATTTGGATTGGCAACGCTTTACGGAAAGGTTACGAAAAAAAACGAAAAAAAAAATAGTACAATTAATTACGTTTGGGTAACGCAACAATTTAAAATAAAATATTTAAAATAAAATAATATAATAAAAAGGTTTAACCATTTATTTTAAATACTTTGCATTTTTTTCGGACCGTAGCAATTCCAATTCCGACAAATTAAAAGCTGGAAATGGAAAAACGTTAAATTAATAAAGGAATTGGCGAAAATTAAGGCCAAAATGGCTAGCAAATTAATAACGACCGGGGATATGCATAACGCCGAAATTATAAATAAAAAAGCCGATAAATTAATGCAATAATTAACCCAATTTGCCGACCAGTTGGCCTTTTAACGGAAACCAAACCCTTTTAACAAATGCGCCCTTTACTAAATACAAAAATTTAACGATTTCCGTAAAAAAGCGAGCCGTTTGCAACGCGCTTTTACTAAAAATAAAATGCAAATAGTATAGAAAGCGCATAAAGCCGCGAACAAAGCATTTGTTAAAAAAAAACGCTAAGCGATGTTTAACCATTAAAAAAGCGTTGTTTCCGCAACGGGATAAAATACCAAAAAAAACGGCGCATTTTGGAAATTCGAAAAATGGGCCCGCTTAAAAAGCTTTTAAAAAAAAACCCGGATTAGTTACCGAATTTAATTAAAATTGGAAAAAACCCGGATACGCTTTGCAACCATTAAAAAAAACCGAAATTTTGTTATTCAAGTTTTTTCCAAACCCGTTAATTAATATTTTTAATATTAGCGAAATCGAATTCCCGAACCATTTTTTCCCAAACCTTTTTTAAATGCCCGTTTTCGTTATCCCGTAAAATATTATGGAAGCAACGGGCCGTACCAAACCGTGGAAAGCTACGGGCTAAAACCATTTTCCGAACGGGTTATTTAAAGCTGCCGGATTGCCGGGCGCAACCGCTATTGCAAAATTTGCTAACGTAACGATTGCTACAAGCTATTTCCCGAAGCGTTTTAAAAAAGCCCTTACGGTAATATTACCCAAACCAGGCAAAACTACCGAAAAAAGGAAATAAGCCGGGGGATAAAAGCCCATCGCTTTGTTGTTATTAATTTTAAAGGTTATTAAATTAACTATAGCGAAGCAAATTACCAATAAAGCGAAAAAAAAAGGCATTTTTCCCAACGGCCAAATGGGCAATTAACGGGTTAAAAATACGGAATTAGCAATTTAAAAAGTAATAAAAGCGGTAATTGCAACATGGAATTATAGCGTTATTGCGTTATTGTTATAATTTAATTTATTTGGAACATTTAATACCGTTAACCATTTCCAATTGCTAAATACGCTAAAAAAATACGGCTTTTTTTTACCAATTATAAAATGGGTAAAAGGGTGGCTAGCAAATAGGACGGCCATTTTGCAATTCGACGGTAACATTTTAAACCCGATTTTAATTTAAGCCGGAATTTTTTAAAGTTTCCTTTTATCCTTTATACTTTTTATTATATATATTGCATTATTGTATAAAAATTTTAAAAGCATTTTAAGCATTTTCGTTACCGGCTTTGCCAACGATACCAATTTATTAACAATAAGAAATACCGTAAGGAATACGGTTCGCTTTTTAAAAGTAATTTGGCTAAAATGCAAAGTATGGGCAACCAAATACGGCATAAAATTTAATAATACCAAAATCGAATTAATTTATTTTAGTAAAAACGAGGATTTGCCCGTGGTTCGATTCGGCGATATAGCGGTAATTTCCAGCCAAACGGTTAAATTTTTCGGGGTTTGGCTAAACGCTCGCTTTAATTTTAAAAAATATACAAAAAAAACAAAAGGCAAGCAAAAAAGGCAATAATTAGTACTTATTTAATTTATTTTGTTAACGTAAAGCAATACATTTGCAAAAGGAAGGTTTTTTTATAACGTAATGTGCCGTACGGCCTTGGTATACGGCGCGATAGCTTTTTATATAGCTATACCGGCAACGGGCCGCTTTAAAAACGCCGTTAAACAGCTTTAAAAAGAATAACGCGCGTATTTAAAAACCATTGCCGGGGCTTACAAAGTTATTTTATTAATTAATTTCGAAATTAAGTGCTTTACCTTTCCAATCGATTTGTATTTAAACAAAAGGGTATTAAAAGTAAAAAAAAATGGGAAGAATTTGGAATGAAAAACGTAATCCGGACCGGTATCGATAAAGTGCAGCAATATTTTCGATAATTGAAATATTGTATAAAGATAAAGGTACCATACCCATTTAATTTGGCAGGCAGGAACCGGTGGGCGCAAAAATGGGACCCGTTAAAACCTTTTGAACCCAAGCCCGGCCCCGCCCCGGCAATTACCTAAAAAGCAACCAAAACGAAAGCTAATGCCAAAGCACAAAAATTAACAAACCAAAAGCAAAAAAAAAAAAAAGGAAAGGAATGGCTTAAAATCGAATGGAACGTTAAATGCAAAAAAATCCGCGCTATAGCAATAAAAGCAAACCCATTCCGGCCCGCAACCCCCGCGGATAAATTTAATTTTAACGGTTTAATGCTAAAAGTATACTAAAAATTTACTAAAGCTTAAAGCGCGATAACCATTTAATTAAAAACGGAAAAATTAAAATTAAAAGCGTTTTTTTAAAATAAAAACGTTTTTAACGTGCATACGCCCCGTTGCCCGTGTAAAACCGGGCAATGGGAAATAGCATTTTACTTATTTGCTAAATGCCCTTTTTATGCTAAGTGGAAAATAGGTTCGGGCTGGGAAAATATAGGTTACCGCAAAGCATATTTCGAACAATAGCAACAAAAGATAAGTATTATTACCGGAATCGATACGGACCAGGACGGCCCCCTTTTGCCCCCCCTTTTTTTGTTAGCAATACGTTTGGCAATTAAAATAAGCAAATTTAACGATTTTAAAATGGTAAAAAAAAACGATCGATTAAAAACGCAAATATTAAAAAAACGAATCGCCCCAAATAAATAACCTAACGCTAAATTAACAATTAAATACAATTACCTTAACCATTAACCTAACATAAAAAAGCTACAATTATACGCCCAACCATACCTAGCAGCATTTAGCAATAAATTCGGGAACAAATTATTGCTTTACATATTTTAGCGCGTGCGGATTTTTTCCCGCGCCATTTCCAATACCCGGTTAAAAAACGCCAGGTTATTTTTATTATTACTTTACTTTATAACCGCCATATTTAATTGCTTACATAAATTAAAAAGTGCAAAAGCAACGAAAACAATATTATTACCAAAAGGGGACCGGCATTTATTAATTGTTAAGCTTGCGCAAAAGCAAATTCTTTAACTTTTAAATCGTTAGCGATTTCCGTAGCATTATTGGCACGCAATAAAGCGTTAAAAGCTTTTAAAGCGTAAAAAGTAAAGGCTTAAAGTACCGATACCATATTACCGGAAAAGGACCGTACGAATTCCAAACCAGTAATACCGGTACTTATAAAAACCCCGGCGCCAAAAAAAAAAGGCATTTGGAAACGGTTAAAGGCAAAATTAGCACCGGTAAGCACCCCGGATTTGTTAAGCCCGTTTTTGTTAATACGCCGGAACGTATAAACCTTAGCAACCAATGCGTTGTAAGCCGTTTAGCACCGTATTATACCGTTAGCAAACCGATAAAGCATAAAAAACCGATAAAATTAAAGCAATTTACCAAATATTTGCAGCAATTATTTAATTCGAAATTGCGCATATCCTTAATTTTAAAAAGCGATTGGTAATATTTAGCAAAAAGCACGGCCGTAATACGAGCTTTTTTAATAACAACGGGGTAAAGCTAAAAAAAAACACGTTAACAACCCGGTTAAATAACGGAAAGGAAAAAGGAAAAAACGATTTACCGTATTATACCAAATGTTTTAATTGGTACAAAAACGATAAAATAATACGTTCGTATTTGGAAAAACCAATAAATTAGCAAATAAAAAAATTACCCGAAACCATAAAAGGAACGAACCAATTTTAAAATAACAAACCGCAATTTTGCTAAACCGCTTTTTCCCGTTTTGCTTTTTACCCAAATTATTGGGCAAATAATTAATGCAATTTACGCAAATATTACGCGCAAAATTAAATAATTAGCCAAAGCACAAACGGGAAAAAAACGAAAAAAGCATTTACGTTATTTAATAATAAAGCAAAATGCTTTTAAGGATTTCCGTTAAAGCGTTTATCGTTTTGCGGGTTATAAATTTGTATTGTTAAACGAAAAAATTAAATTAAAACAAAAAACGAAAACAATTTAGCGGCAAAAAAATAAAAAAAACAAATTATGTAATTAACGTTAATTTGCGCGTTGCCGCCGTTATTATTGCTGGCGCTAAAAAAACCGTTGCTATTATCGAGCATTTTTACCGGGGGAGTACGGAAAGCGGGCCGGGCAAAAAAAACGTTAAAAATAACGGAATTAAAAAAAGGAAAAGTAATAATTACCGCTTAACCATTATTATAAACGCCGTTACCGCCGCGGCTAACGCGTTTAGCAAAATTAACTTTAGCCGTGCTTTTTTTTTAAAAAAAGCCGTTAATTGGCATTGCAACCGATTAAATTTAAAAATAAAATTAAAAATAGCCGGAAGCGAAAAAAAAAAGTGCAGCCAAGCGTTGGAAATAAAAAGCGCGTTGGAAAAAATTAAAGCAATAAAAATTAACCGGAAATAATGCGATAAAAAAATAACGGTTAAAAAAAA